GCAAAGTGAAGCATTTTACCGTACAGTGGTGAACACCCAAAAGCTAGTCACCTTCAACCAAGTGAAGGGGATTTTTGGTTTCACTGAGAGTGATAGCATTGGTAAAATTGCCTTCCCAGCTGTCCAGGCTACACCAGCTTTCAGTTGTGCTTTCCCAGAAATATTCAATAATCGGAAAGATGTCCCCTGCCTTATCCCTTGTGCCATCGACCAGGTAAAACTGAACTTTGGGAATACCTTTCTCCCACTCCTTTTCCTCCCCATTTTTATCATGCTTTCCTTTGTCATTTTCCTTTTTTTTTTCCCCCCCTCATCCTACACTATTTTCTTTTCACACACTTTCTTTCTCTCTTTTTTTTTTTTTTTTTTTTATTCCCCCAGTAGTTATTTAGACGCTTTTTCTTCATTTCCACTCATTTTTCCTCGCCTCCATTTTCTTTCTCTGCACTTGTATTTGGCACAATTTTCTTTCTTTCTTTCTTTTAAACTTTAAATTATGACATAACACTGTAAAGAAAAGTAACTTGATTCTGCATTTTAAATTGTCCAATGAACAGCTTATGCTTTTTGTCTCTTAAGGATCCTTATTTCCGGATGACTCGTGATGTAGCCCCTCGAATGGGCGCCTTGAAGCCTTCAACTATGTACTCTGTATTCTTTCCTGCTCTACAAGGTTCTCAAAGTAAAATGAGTGCCAGTGATCCAAATTCTTCAATATTCCTCACAGACACGAATGCTCAGATCAAGAATAAAGTAAGTCCTGTTGTTTGCTTTCTTTCATGTTATTTTTAGCACTTCCTAAGAATTTGTTTTATAATTCCTCCCTCACAAAATGGTGATGATAATAATAGTATTATTTTTTTTGAATGGTGAATAGTTTTTGCTATTCAGTTGGTTAAGTACTATACATGATACACACTCAGACAAAAATATGTCTGATGGGACGGAGAAATGCTCCATTTTTTTTTTTATTGGTTCAGAAGAAATCCCAGTGCTGCTGTATTTGTCTATAAATTTCAGGGAAGGGAACATTTTTGCAGTCATTCCTAACAATTTTAGAACCAAACCCTTATGATGGTGGTGGTAGGAGGAGGGTAGTTTTAGGTTTGAGAAGTAGGTTGAGCTGAGAACTTTTCAGCACGCTTTGTGTTGATACAGCAAAAATTTTGACACCTATAATTAAGGTTGTAGTTTTATTTTTTTATTGTTGCCCACTTAGCTTACAACTACTCTACAATTTCTCTATTCTCAGTATTTTTTTTTTTCTGTACTAAATAATATTTGATGCATGAACTCCAAATTTGTGACTTAAAATTTGTTTGATCAAGCACAGAAGAGTTTCACCAATCCTCTGGTTAGACAATGAATGCTTTCAAAACTTTGATTTTTACTTGGTCTCAAATCCTAACCATTGACTCCACTATAAAAATAGATAACTACTTCAATAATGAAGCAGTCTGTTGGAGGAATACTTAGATTACATCCCAAATACCAATTCCATTATATAGACACAAACAGGCATTTTATGAATTATTCATCAAGGCACTTAAATTCTCTGTAGTTTACTTAAATAATATGAACATATGGCCAAGTGGTTAAAACATTCTCATTCTGACCATGAGACATGGGTTCAAATCACACCATGGTTGATTTATCAGGAAGGAGACTTCCTGATGTTATCGTACTGGAGTGGTTGATCCTAGCGTGTAGAACCTTTGGAAAATGCCTGAAAACCATACTACAGGTTGACCCAAGACTTGTGAGTGAAATTGGGTAGACATGACCCTTGGGGGGTCGTCGATAGCTGTGCTAGCACCAAGTCACAAGTCATCATGGATGAGGGCTTTAGTGTGCTGGCCTTATTCAAATTGTTAATCACGCTAGATAGCACATTTTTTCCCCAGAAACTGTAGCTAAGGTCTGCTCAATATAGTTGCAATATAAACTACAGGTGGGTTCTGTGTGTGTTAAATAAACACAAATGTGCCTGAGCAAGCGTCTGCAATAGGGATTGGCTGGCCATCATAGTAGACAAGTATCCACGAATATGAGTGGCTAGCTATACTCGAGTAATTCGTATTTCATAAATAAACGATTTTTCTCTCTCTCTTTTCAGATTAATAAATATGCATTCTCTGGTGGTGGTGCCACAGTTGAAGAACACAAGGCCAATGGCGGCGATTGTGATATTGATGTTTCCTTCCAATATCTTCGCTTTTTCTTAGAAGATGATGAACGTCTTGAACAGATCAGAAAGGTAAGACGTGTTTGTAGATAGAATTACTTATAATAATTACTTATCTCGGTTGACATATTGTTACTTCACAAATATGACATAAACATAAATAAAAACAACCATTAACTTATTCTATTGTAACCAAATGCACCCTAATTATAAACAGGATTAAAAGGCAATTAAAAACATAATTCACTGGTACATATCACTTAATGTTCTTAACAAACCCCCTAAGATTTACTTTCTGCTATAAAGAAGTTTAGAATCTCTAACTTAATTATTACCAACAACATCAGGCCTCCTAAATGCCTCTGATGTAAAAATAATGTTGTCTATGAATTCTCATGATAAATAAAATATTATTCACCACCAAAGGAGATGGTATCTTGAAGTGCATATAATTAATGTGCACATATATTAGTATTAAAAAAACAATAACAATAGTCATTACACATGATGTCACACTAGACCAGTATTTCTCAACCTTTTTAAGCAACAGCACACCTAAAAGCAAATGAAAATATTATGGTACACTTAGCAAAATTTTTAAAAGATATACATTTAAATGTTCTGAAATAAAATTATGTATTTCTTTAAAAATACACACACAAATATAAACTTAGTTTATTTCAGTGTTTCTACTCAATTATTTGTACAGCTTGTGAAACCTGTGCCTGGTGTATCATTACATCCCCCCACACACACACACACGCATACACATACATATATGTATGCTGTGCCAAGATTTTGTGGCACACCTAAGATTATGCAGCACACTAGTGTGCTGTGCATGGCGGTTGAGAATCAACCTTTTCAAATGTTCAGCTTCCCAAAGAATACCAGGATGCAGGCAAAGGAATTCTAACTACTGCACCACATTGGTTCTTGATAATGAATTTATAAATTGAAAGCACTTTAACAAAAATAAAAACCAAAACTTCAAGCACAATACTCAATACCTTATCCAAAAATTGGGAAAATACACACACACACACACACACACACAACTTATTACCCTATAGTTAAACTATAACTACAACTCCTTTCCCACAAACAAAAGAAATAGTCACAAGCCTCTTGCTGCTTTATTGCTATATCCATGTAAAAGTGTTCAGATGAACTACATTCCTTAGTTTCACCAGTTCTAACCTTCACGGCTAAGTCCCGCCATGCCACAATGTCGCAATCCACCATCATTCCTTTCGTATTCCATTTGTTGAAATGCAAGTTCCACTTGAGCAGCTTCTTCACACAAAACTCTACTTTGAAAACCTGATTCCTAAAATGATGCTTCCTCAATCAACAATTTTAATCTTTTCAAGTCTATGATTAACCATTATCTTGCTCACATATCTCCATAAACTGTGTCTCTTACTCTGTAACTATCTGCATTGAGCTACTTTTAGGCCTTGTATATGGTAAACATCACTGTAAAAAAAAAAAAAAAATGTTGAAACACCAGTTCTTGTACAATCACAGAAGTTAAGCAATTTCCAAGCCAGATCAATACCTAGATGGGTAACCACTTGGGAATACCATTTGTTGTAATCTTGGATATGCAACTGATGTAATGGATAATGGCTCAGAATTGGAAATCAGAGCTGAGTTCCAATTCCAGTCTGGTTCATTTAGGTGTAAATATCCATGAAAAAGGTATGAATCCACCTCTTCTCTCTCCAGCTATGGAGTAATTAGTAAGAATTGTATAATTGAACCATTATTATCTCAAAAAAATAAAATAAAAATAAAATTACAATCTAAAAAATATTTTCTGGCTTTAAATGACCTAAAAAAAGGTTAAGCCATAAAAAAAGAAATCAATTGGTCAGTTACGCACACAAAAACATTAATATGTATGGGAAAAGTTTAACAATTGCATCTGCAAAAAAAAAAGTGTCAAAAGGATGTTTTTTCCTTTTCACACCACTATTATTGTATACTTCCTCAGCAGTTTTTATTCTTTAAAAGGCTGTATTTTTTAATTTTTATTCAAATTTTAATAAAATATTAAAAATTTTTAAGAAAATGAAATTTAATAAAAATTTCTTTTAAGAAAACCTCAACATATAAAACTGGATATTTACCCATTTTCTTTTTTTCTCAAGAATTGACAACAGAAATATGGGGAGATAAGTCTTAAGTGCCTTATGTTCCTTCACAATGTAGCTGCTTATGTCTCTCCACAATTTCCTGTCCTTTGTAGCTCTTAATAAATGTTGTCTCTTTGTTATTTCTCCTAAACTGTGCTCCACCATCCATTTACTCAAACACACTGTTATGTGTTGTTTTCCTCTGTCTCTTCTTGCATTCAATCTGTCCTGTGAGTATCAGATTTTCAAGCCCTCTTTCCTCATTGTGTCCTAGAAATTTCAACTGTATCTTCTTAAGTATAAGTTTCCTTTTTGTTTCTATTTTCTCTGAAACATTGTCTTTGCTCATATTTTTGGTTCATGTTATCCTCACCATCCTTCTGTAGAATCACATTTCTGTTCCTTCAAGTCTCTTCAAGGAGATTGTCCAACATTCACTGCCATATGGGAGGACTGATATAACTAATATTTTGGTATTTTAACCACTTCCACACCAATTATTTGGGGGGGGGGAACTTTTCATTTTCAGACTTTTTTTTTTTTTTTTTTTTTTTTTTTTTTTTTTTTTATAATATAGTAACTGAGGAACCTTTTAAGTACCTGAGTAGTGGGTAAACACCTCCACCAGATATGAGTTGATAATTAGGACTCTTTGCAAGCTCAGAAGGGCATAAAAAGAATCAAAATTGACATAAACATGTCTGTAACTGGTTTTTGAACATTTTTTTTTTTTTTTTTTTTTTTTTTTTTTTTTTTGGAGGTGTTTATTTGTCCATGTCTGAAAAGGACACTTTCGGTAAAAACATATATACATGTGTACACCAAGAAAAGGGGTTAAAGTACCATGTTGTATTAAATTATGACAATAGGTGAACCAATTTGAAATTGGTAGTATGAAAGAGTCAACCTTTGAACAAACCACTGTTCTATGATTTCTTAACAGCAACCAAAATTACCAACCTTGATAATACAGTCAATTTTGAGTGTATCATGTGTGTTCATATAATACACACACAAAGTGCATCATTTGCTTGACACATAGTAACTGAATTTTGAATGTTCAATTTACATAATTAAGATTCAGCATTGAAAAGGAAGAAGACTTGAAAAATATATTTGTATAAAATATAGCGCTTTTTTTTTTTTTTATCATAGGCTTGATTGATGTATCTGTATTTTTTTATCTATACGTGTTTTGTGTAATAATCTTTCTCATATAATACAGGATGCAATGGATAAATTGCTGTCTAAATTATGCAAAAATGAAAATAACGCTTACATCTCATTTTAACAGATATATTTAACAAAATTACACAAAAATGTCTTGAAATACTGAAAAGTAAATTTATTCAATAAAATCGCCATTAGCTCCAACCATGGCCACCAGACAATCTCTGAATCTCCTGCAACTTTTCTGGACAGTCTCCTTGTTTAAATTGGTGAATGCTGCCATAATCTTCACCTTCAGCTCATGTTTGGTGTTACAAGAGTTTTGTTGGTCTCTCACTCTACTGCGTCCCACACATAAAAATCAAGGGGACTGCAGTCTGGGGAGTTGGGTGCCCAGATGTAAGGGATGATGTGGCCACAGAAAATGTCTGACAGCCATGTCTGGGTTCTCCTGTTTGTGTGGCATTGTACAAAGTCCTGTTGCCAGATATAAAGTGTCTTCCAGCAACCACCCGCTTTTCCCAGGGCAGCAATATCTCCTCAAGACACTTTATGTAAGCATCCATGTTGAAACTGAGTCCATCACCAAAAAACTCAGGAGCTCTTATCAGAATGATCAGTGAGTTTTTCAAGCTGTCATACCATCGTCATTACCATGAGACTCTTCCAAATCCTCTGTACTGTCCTCAGATTGGCATCCAAACACTCTGAAATGTCTGTATTGGAGCTTCCAGTGCGAATGCCAAGCAGTACAGTATGTTGTTTTCAAATCTCTGGCAGAATGAATTGCGTCATAGTTCTATTTTCTCGTAGATGGTGCCCAACTGAACCTACTATGCTGTGTAGTCAACAAAATCAAAAACAAACAATATGCAGGTGCGAAATTAAAAATATAATATGGCAACAATTTATCCATCACATACTGTATGTAAAAATTTTTATTTTAATACTTGAAAAAAAATTTTTTTTTTTTTTTTTTCTCTCTCTCTAGGATTATTCAAGTGGTGAATTGTTAACAGGCTATCTCAAAAAAGAGTTGATCGGAATTCTTCAAAAGATCGTCTCCGAGCAACAGAAACGCAGAGCAGAAGTGACTGATGAAACGATCAAGCTTTTCACTACACCCAGAAAACTCAAATATGATTATTAAAAGAGACAGGCATTGAGTCCATTTCAAAACATCAGCTTTGCCTCAAATATCAACCAAACTGGGGTGGGGGGGTGCTGAATTAACCCAAGAAGTGAAGAAATATAGACTTTTATTTTTGTTTTCTTTTCTACATCTTACAGCACTTTGGATATTTATGCACAATGAATTTTATATATATATATATATAAAATAGTGGCAATTAAATTAACTATATAGTTACAATAACAATTAAGACAGAGCAATTAATCAACAGTCCAGATATTTATTATTAAAATGATTCTGGTTAATAATAAAATGCTATGGTAAACAATAGTAAATTAATTACCAATACTGTTCAAACTACAAATTACCTGCTTCAATGCTTTGCTTTTTTTTTTTTTTTACTAGTAACTATATAGTGACTTTATTGCCATTCTTTATATATATATATAATATTGTGCGTTTAATAATAATCATTCCTCGCTATGGTTTTTAAGAAAATATCTATCTCACACACATCTCACAAAAAAGTAATTCAACTTGTTTTTTTTTTTTTTTTTTTTTTTGTGATATCAGGATTTTCATAAAAAATAATTTGTATGCATATATAGATTTACAGGAAATAGCTACATATTTTAAATTTTTAATTATATTAATATGAAATCATATCTATTCAGTTTAATATATACTCAGTCTGGTTATATGTTATTTTATTGGTACTATAAATTGCTGGGTAAAGAAGCTTGAATGTTAAATTTTGAAAATATAAAAAACTCGGAACTTTTGTAATGTATCTTGATTAAATAAAAAGCCGTATAAATGTCTCTAAGGTTCTACAAATAAACTAATAAATTGTAATACTTTTTTTTGTTTGTTTCTAATTACTGTGATTTTTCTGAAGACTGTTGTAAAAGTAAACAGGAAGCAAAAATCATTGCCTCATGTTTGGTATGACATGGAAAGTCATACACAATCTGAACCAATGATTTCTATCTCCATTTCTCCAAAAACACTTATGGAAACTTAAATGTGAATTGATTTTTTTTTTTTTTTTTTTTTTTAACAAACTCGGCCTGCTAGACTGCCATCCAGGGTCAAACAGCTCCTACTGCTCTCAAACTATGAGTAACAAAGTGGATATAAACTATCCCAGTCAAAGGATAGATTGGTTCATTGAAATTAAAGCAAAAAGAAACCCCCATAATTCCAAGAGTTGTTCAGACTATTGAAATCATTCTTTGTGTTGCTTTTCTTGCTACCACATCATTTCAGTCAATTCATTCTATCATTCCCGGAGTTGTTCAGACTATCGAACTCATCCAGTTATTTTTGGAGTAAAAGTTTATTATCACACATGAAAGTAAATTTGAATATAACGATGAATCAGACAAGTGAGAGAAGATCCCCAGTCTTGGATGCATCTGGTACAACAGGAACAGTCAGTTTCTCCCTTGAACCATTTGTTGACCAGCTGATATCTTCTCTAACATTGGAGGTGTCCTCTTTCATAATTGGATATAAAGAGAGGCTAACATATCTGGATCTCAGCAAGCCAATAGTTCTCTACACAGATGCTAGTGGAAGGTCCAGTGCCAGGTATACCAGAGGAAGTACTGGTGTATTTTCTATCACACAGGCTCTGAGATGCAACAGATTGGAGGTGGAGACACACATACAGACAGACACACTATTACATATGCCTTGCAGAAGTCAGATTACTATCTGAGTGGGGCAGTATTTACTATTAAGACTGACCACAAACCACTCCAGTATTTGCTGGAGGCCAATTGGACAAATAAAAAGATCCAATAATGAGTGCTGAAATTGAGCAGGTAACAATTGCAAAATAGTACCTGGCTTGAAAAAACAATACCTGTGCAGATTTGTTGTCAAGATGACCAAAACAGCAGGAGGCAGAATCTGTGACAATAGAGCCTACCAAATAGGGATGATCAGTTCAAATAGGCTGAGAAACTACCCTGTGTTGGAAACAAATATTGAAGAAACCACACAGGTGGTGACACTCACTAGATGGAAAAAACTGAGAAGGGTCAGGCAGATAGTGAGATAACCACCCTTGGGGTAAAAGTAGAAGCAGGAGCGACCACCAGATATGCAGTACATGAAGGGAGGCTGTATTACCTGTCAGAGAGTGAAGAAGGCTTAGACTGTATGTTCCAAAGGGTCTGAGAGCTGAAATAGTGGGAGAGTGTCATGAAGGGCTGGGTCATATGGGAATCAATAAGACCTGTAACCTGGTGAGGAGAAGCTATTAATGGCCCGGACTGTATAACGAGATCACCAATGTTCAGAGTTGTATGGAACCATATGGAGAGACTCCCCCCCCCACAGGGAACATGTACATAGTGAGCTTTGTGGACTAGCTAACAAATTGGCCTGAGGCATATGCTGTGCAAAACAAGAAAGCTCAGTGGCTGATCTAGTAATGAGCAAGATGTTCCCAAGGTATGGAGCTCCTGTGCAGCTGGTCACAGACAATAGACCAGAAAATGTGAATAAAGTACCGACAGGTTTTAGTAAGCCTGAACATAGTACACATAACTACTTTTCCCTATCACTCCCAGGGTAACACAAAGGTGGAGAGATTCCATAGAGCCTTGAAAGATGTGTTAGCTAAGTTAGCAGTGGATAACACTGGGAATTGGGACCTGTATCTAACACAGGCCCTGGCGACTCGTGAGGTTTACAATAAATGAACCCTCTCAGTTCTCACTGTATTATCTGCTGTTCAGACGAGATGTGGTCTTGCCAGTGAATAATTTGTTAAAACCCCACAGGAAGTATATAGGAGGATACCATCACCAATTAATAATCGAACAGCATAAATTGTTCACCCAGGCCAAGAGGAGGATAAAGAGGACACAGAAGAAAAGAAATGAGAGGGTGAATAGAGGAAAAAAGGAGGTAAAGTTGGGGGGACCCCATGTTCTATAAAATTCACTTGAAAGAGGGAAAATTGGACCAGAAGTAGGAACCTTATTATAGAATAGTGGAACAGACAGGTCCAGTGTCATTTATAATCTGGGATCAAATGGCAGTTGAGTCAAAAAGGCTCATGCTAATGACCTGAAATTAGCTGATTGGGAAGTAACTGAACCAATGACAAAGAAGGCAAGGATGAGGAGAGCAACCCTTGTGGAGCCAGAAGAAATGGAAACAGATGAAGATTTTAAGGAGGAAGAAAAAGGGAAAATAGGTTAACAGCCAGTAGAAACCTTTGGTGGCAAATCAGGCAGTGCAGTACAAATACTGGCGCAAGGTCTGTTGGCATTGGCTGGTGGCATACATTCATTGTCTGTACTGCCGTTATTGCATAAAGGGTTTTGCGACATTGATGCTCCATTCCACATTCATCAAGGGGCTATAAGAAAACCAAAAATCCCCTGTGGTGAAGTCCAGGGTTCTGACTTGAAACCTCCTGAAAAGGACGAAGAGCTAAGGGAGTGGGAAGAAAAGGATGAGATACCTTTTTCCCAACTCCAAAGACGGTTGAGAGAGGAAGAAAGGTCAAAAGTTGAGCCAGAGTTACCGCCTTAAGACACTGAGAGGAGGATGTGGAGCTCATTCAAAAGCCTAACCAGTAACTAACAGTGGGGGTTAGTTGGAGAGGAGGTGTGGACAGTGCATCATGGGGGGGGGGGGAATTATTTGGTGGTGGTGTCATTGGTCTGCATAAGGGCCTATGTATGTCCAGCAGTGATACTGATGAAACACGACCCTTGGGGTAAAAGTTTGGTGCACCTGTCTGAACCCAATCAGCTTACTAAAGGTTGGTTAAAAGAAGAAAGGGTTGAAGTTGGGAAACTAAGAAAAGGAAGTAGTGGGAGCACTCCAGAATAATTGATTATGAAAATAAACAAACGGTGAGTGGGTAGAGGAGTAAAAAACAAAGAAATCTTGTTATCCTTGCATGATATGAAGTGATTGATATTACTGATGATTACGGGAGCCTGGAAGCACAGCTAGAATATTTTCAAGAAATCAAGTGAGGTGATAATAACAAGGTCAAAATGGTTGGTCACCTTTTTGATAGATTTGAACCCATATGAATTACTATTGTGAGGAATTATGTGAAAGGAATTAAACTGTTACAAACGTGAAGAAAGAGAGCAGTAGTCCCTATTGTTGAAAAAGTGCCGAGTGTCCTGTTTGAAACAATGACTGAAGATGACATCAAGGTTATAAGAAGAAAACTGGGAGAAGTGGAAAAGAATCAAAGTGTCCTAGCTCATGTGGCAAGAGAAATTTGATACTGAATGTGACAAGAATTGGGCAAGTATCATTTGGTTAATAAATAAGCTATGAGAATTAAGACAGGAGGTAGCTAATAATTTGGAGGCTGTGACAACTGAATTACAAGAATTAAATGGTTTTATACAGCAGTATTTCCAGTTAATGACCATTACTAATAAGGTGTGACGGACGCAGATAGCCCAAACACGCATATATTAAGGTTAATCTCCGCCTGGCAACAGAAGAGGTCACGTGGAAGTCTTGCGACATTTTGGGAAAGCAAGTCAAGAGGTTGACTGACCCAAATACCCATAGCAACAGATGTCTAGACAGAAGCTAGACAGGGGACTGATGTAAGCTGGAATTCGTGCCAAAACGCAGGACTCATGAGAGTTAGAAAATTACTTGGGAGTCAGTTGCTGTCTTGTCTTTGAAGGAGCAAGACTCAAAATCGAAGCGCTGATAACTTATGAACAGAAAGATGAGACTCATTTGATAATGATGGAACTTGTCCAATTTATCCCAGGCAACTCCGGACAAGAAATATTAGAACATGTATTTCTGTTCGATAACCCCAAATTGAAGGTGATAACTCACGTTGTTTATCACAGAAGATGCAAAGGAATTTGTACGCTGAGAATACAGCCTGCGTTTGAAGAAGAGGCAACCGGACGTCTAGCCACAGTGATGAGCTGTGATACAGCGAAACAGTGTCTGTGGATGACAATATATTCTTTTACTCAAATTATTTTTTTTTTTTTTTTTTTTTTTTTTTACTTGTGACTTCATTTTGCCCAGACTAAACCAAATACTATGTAATGAAGCCAAATACTAAACCAATACAATGATTTCTGTTGATGATTTGATCCTCACATTCCTCATGATCAAAATCAAACATGTGGGATAAGGCAAGGCTTGGACTGAAGTGATCAACTCATCAATCAGCTGCGGGAATTGAACAGACCAGTAAAGAAGGCTACAGCTATACCATTTCTACTTCCACACATACACAGCACAGGGGTTGAGAATCACTGTTAGTCAATAGTCATACTCAATTGACAAGTCAACGACAATCATATATATGCAATATCAGAAATAACAAAAAAGAAAGTATAAAGAAAAATAAGACAAACACAAAAACAGAGTTAAAAAATTTTTATTGCCCTTAGAGATTTTTGTTGGGTGGGGAAGGTGGGGAAGAATTTTTTTTTTTTTTTGAGAAAAGGCTGATGAAAGATGAAAAATTAAAATGAGTTAAAAACTGAAGTGAATTTTAATTAAAAAAAAAAATTTTCTATGAGGAAGAAAACTAAAAAGAAAAATTATTTCTAACTCTGGGTTAGAGAAAAGAAAAAGTTCACACTTAACGTTAAAAAAGATGAAAATATATGAAAACTTACTAGAAAATATTTTTGAAAAAAAAAAAAAACGATTTTTGTTTTTAATATGAAAATTAAGTAACTTCCATGTTCATATAAAAAAGTACAAAGAAAATTGGGCAAAAGTAAAATTTACCAATTTTAATGAATGGGCACATATGGAAAAACTATCATGACAGTTAATGTTTTTTTATATGTAGAATATTTTAATAAATTAGGGATAAAAAATCAAAACCCAATTCATGTCAAAGAGAGAAAAAAATAGAACAAAAGTAAGCGGATGAAGATAAATTTCATTGAAAAATTGGGGGGCTGAATTGTTACATTAATGAAAATTGTAACAAAATGACCAAAACTGAAATTTTCTTAAATGCTATTCTCAACACACTTCTTTTAATTATTAATCTTTCTGCCTTCATGATTTTTTTTATTAGGTGACTGATCAGGGTGAGATGAGGTTGCGGGGGTGGATTAAAAAGACCTATGAAAAAAAAAAAATCACACACATGTGTTAATAAAAAATAATTACAAGTCACAAAAAAAAAAAAAAAAGTGTCACCCCTTTTCTTGCTGAATTTTATACACTTGACTCCTGGATTAAAAAAAAAAAATTGTCACATATTTTGTGCTTTTATTTTATATATGTATTAATTAAATTTATCTCATTGAAACTTAATTTAGTACCTAAAAAAAAAAAACAGTTCAAATACATCAGGGAATTAAAAAAAAATATATAGATATACAATGTATGTACACAAATATCTGTCTATACACATACACACACAAAATGTGGCTGAAATACCTCCCACTTTTAAACCTGTGTGGTGCTAGTGAAATTAGACAAGTGGCAATGGTGTCGTCATCTAGCTAATGTTTTATCATTTTTTTTTTCAGACACCATCATGGCTTGGATCAGTTCACACTGTACATTTCCTGTTGAAACACTTTTTTAAGACTTGTGAATCTATAATTACAACATGGAGAGCATTTGGTAGCTGTTCAGGATAGAAAAATCGATAGAAAATTTCAGTCACATGTTCAGTGTTTAAAAGAAAGCCATCTTAAACTTCCTGGGTGATAGAAAACTTTAGAAATTGTCTGCAACAGGGTATGTTGAATAGAGGCCACAATTTGGAGGATGTCATTTTTAAAAACCAAATGAATAAAAACTGTAGCCCTTTGTTTAAACAACAGTGAAATAATCTTTTTAATAGCAGTTACTTTGGTCTTTTTGTCAACCTTTAAAATGTGGGAGTTATATCTGCTATATATATATATATATATATATATATATATATATATATATATATATATATGTGTGTGTGTGTGTGTATATGTTTACACACACAATTCAATAATATGGGGTGCAGCAGAAATACTTCCCACATAATGGTAAGACATTAGATGAAGACACTATTACCATTAATGTCTTACCATTCAATGGAAGGTATATGCAGTTGGTATTTCTACTGCACCTTGTATAAACACAGGATTAAAAACATGCACCACATTCAAACACTGAATTTTCATCACTACAAACATTTCTCTTAATAGGATATAAATGTATAAATCACTAAATTCTTTTATTTAATGGAAACTTTAATGACATTTTAATCAATAAATTCTGTGTTTAACTTAGAATGTTAAATAAAATAGGCTTGCTAAAAGATGTGAAGGATAATGCTCTGCTTAAATATTTATATATATATATATATATATATATATGGGATTTTGTGTATGCATGTACATAATCATTATGTCAGTAGCCTAATGATAAAAAGAATTTAAAATTTCTTTCAACATAATCTTTTTCCTTAAAGCTATTTAACCATTATTTTTCTATGAATCATATAAATTTCAGATCAAACTTCATCCTGTAACAGTAGCAAGCATATTGATCTAACTTTTATATAACTTAGGTATGTATATACACATGTACAATGATTGGAAAAAGAGTAATAATCCTATAGGTATTTACACTGTCTAGCCTGATACAAAGACCTTGAGTTTGGGGCACCTAGTGAGGATCAAACTAACCACATAATAATAATGATATACTAGCTTGTTAGATATTACTCTGCAGTAAAGCACCCATCACAGCTTAGTATCTTGTGATTAAGATTGAAAAATTTACTAAGAAACAAATTTTTATGTTTATTTGCAAATACAAATATAAAATAATTTTTAAGGGACTCATGGATTCTTATCTGGCATTATTTCCTAATACTGGAAATGTTATTTTTGAGATACCCAAATTTTTTATTTTAAACATTCACTGACATATGAAATTGAGAGGCTTAACATAGAAAACATGCTCTCCGGTAGGACACAAACATGTATCCCCTTTTGTAGGAGAAACCATCATCTTATCTGGCATACATGCTTTAGACTGTTTGCCCAAAGAGAACAAGATTTAATTATTCAGTGAAAAAAGCATACTGGGTCAGATGATAGTTTCTCCTACAGAGGGGATTGTGCAGGTTTGAGCCCTGCTGGAGACCACATTTTCTTTATTAAATCTCTCAGTTACAAAAGTCAGTAGATGTAGTTAAAAAAAAACATCTCCCCAGACATGTGTATCCCAAGTTCCTCACCATTTGGTAAGTTTCATGCCTATGGTAATCGAAAGGTACAGATTTAAAACTATTATTAGCATAAATCTTAGCTCTGATTATATATTGCAGTAACCACTGTTTTTATTACCACCAGCACTCACTGTGTGTAATTTTATATGATTGCTATCTCTCACACAAGTATTTATAATGATGAAAGGTGCAAAAGGAAAAAATAAACACATTTGAAAGACTTGTTAAAACAGGATAATAAAGAACATTGGCAATTTTAAGAAAACCAACTGAGGAGAATGAGAAGATGACCATAAAAAAAAAATCAAAGTTAACACATTATATAAAGATGAAAGACTGTGTTCTCATAAAAATCATACAGAAATTGTCACTTGTTTTCAGCACTTGAAAGACTGCATTGTTTATTAAGTAACAAATATCTAAAATAGGTGCCATCTTGAATGACATTTTCTTTAACTGTTGATATTCTTGTAGCCACAAGAAATGAAATAATAGAAAGCATTCTCGGTTGCATTTTCTAGTAATAAAATGATGTATTTGCCTTTTATTTTCTCTATAAAAACATTTGAAGCAACTTTTGCTTTGATATTAAGTACACTAGCACAAATTCTCACACAAACATTTATTCTCTCTCTCTCTCTCTGTATATATTGTGTGTATATATATATATATATATATATATATATATATATATATATATATATATATATGTATGAGAGTTGGGGAACAAATATGGATTGGAATCTGATTATGACAAGGTAAAGAACAAATAGAAAATGTTTATCAAAGCATCATATAATGAAGCTTTAATAAAAGTGTTACACTGATAAATGTTTCCTATTTCTTTTTTATCCTATTGTGTGTGTGGAAACTGGGTCCAACACCAAGCAGTGACAATCTGTTTCATTCTTGAATGCAATCTTCGGACACATGGCCTGAAGATTGCATTCAAGCATGAAAGATTGTTATAACCCGGTTTTGATCTCAGTGTCCACTGCTAAATTTATATATAACCCATCGCTGATATCGAGTATTTTTACCCATAAATATAGCATACACACACACACAAACATTCTATTTCACAATTCTGTGTCTCTCATACACACACAAAAGCAGTAATAAAAAAGCTGTGCCTCACAAGCAGCATAATTTATATGGTTCAAGTATTGCATGTTGTTAGATATTGTCAATACCAGAAACTAAACAGACAAAAGCACACACACAAACATATGTACACATACAGGTATATCTATGTATTAATGAAAACATACATCACATATGTATATAAATTTTCTTTTGTTAGATTTTTTTTCATTTTACACCCAAATAGGTTTAATATAAACAATCGTTTTTTTGTTTTGTTTAATTTTTTTTTTTTCAAGTTTTCCTTCAGGGTCAAGGAAGCATATTTTTTTCAGGGGGAAGACTGACTACTGTTGGAGCCAAAATGTCACTTGCGGGCATCACATTGGTAGAAGGTGCTGATGAAACTGGTGAAGGGAGAGTAGCATTTATTGGTTCTTGACATGGTGGCAGGTTAGTGCCTCCTGGTGTTGGAGCAACTAGAGACTGAATTGGGATAAGAGGGGGAGGTAACTTGTTGGTCTCTTCACTCTCCTCATCAATTTCTACTTTCACTTTCCGTGGCTTGATCTCGAGGGGTGTTCGTTCAAGGACTTTCTGGATTTCCAGTTTGAAGTTCTCTTTGAATTCTTCCACATCACGTTGTAGTTGCATCGCTTCGGCCATCACTTTGTCATGTCGCTTCTGCATTTCGGCCACTCGCTGCAAATTCTCATACATCAGCCTCATGCCCTCACACATGTATTCATTTCCACGTGAGGGTGGAGTTGCTTCTCCAGACATGTAGTGTTCAAATTCCAAAGGATTTAGACTTAGGGAGTCGGCAGTAATGTTCTCAATAAAAGCAACAGCACAGCACTGGCAAAATAATAAACAATCATAATAATCATAAAAACAATTATAAAATTCATAATCATCAAAATAAAGGGTGTTCCAGTAACTTGGATCAATTTTAAATGTGAATTAAGTTTAAGCATCTAATGATTTTTTCTTTCAGATTTGGCAGACATTTGAGCAATATTATTTTTCACATAATTGCCATGACTTAAATAACGTGATAAAATACAGAAACAAATTTTCAACAATAACACTGATTTATTTACTGCTGACTTTGTCTTAATGAAACGCACAATATTCATAAACAATCTTGATATTCATAAACATAATATTCATAATCATAATATTCACAAACAATCTTGATATTCATAAACATAATATTCATAAACAATCTTGATATTCATAAACATAATATTCATAAACAATCATAATATTTATAAACATAATAATCATTCAATCAATCATAAAAATAAGGCGAACAATAAAAGTGAGCAATACTAAAATAGGAACTAGACATGTTATATAGGAAGAAAGTGTCACTGCCAACACTTGAGTTTAAACATAGATCACCAGTGAGCAAACACAGGTGATCCTGTTACTGAATTAATTAGATCACGTGATCATAGAGGAAACGCATATATGTAAGAAATAGCTGACAACTAACGATCTCTGTTACTACACGGATAACCATTTCTACTATCCTCTATTACTATACGAACCATTATTCTCTACTCTATTGACTATACTATTTCTCTGTTCAGATCACTATACAGATTACGGAGTGGAGTAATGGATAGCAGCTCAGATTGAGGAATCAGAGGGCCAAGTTCAAATTCCAGTTGAATCCAATAGATTTACTTACATGCTAATACTCTTGGGAAAGGTATGAATCCTCTTCTTCCCCCAAGCTATGGGTAAAATAGCAGGACAGACTGGGTTCTATATCATTGGATGGCAACTGGTCTACTGCAGAAAGAAATGGCAACCTACTGTGGGGAAAAAATCTGCCTCGTCAGTCATGTATCAAAAGATACATAATTGCCTAAGCATGTATCACATGTGGCACATAACTGACTGATATGGATTACTATTTGAGCAAGTATTATTGAGCAAGTACTATTAGTGCAAGTGCTATTTGAAGGCATCTGACAGCAGCATTGTTCAACAGCGTACTATAGTTGTAACTGCAATTACAAAGTCTCTACTACAATGAGCATTACAAAAGTGACAATGAGTATTTGTTGATATCATAAAAGCGGCAACGAGTGTTCATTGACATTACAAGAACAAGATATCCCTAGACATGGGCAGTGGCACGAGAACAATCTGTTCTCATAGATTAAATAAAGGGTTCAGTTCAGAATCCCTTGTAGGTTACCCAGATGAAGAAGATCTGGAGGGTACAACAACTGAACTGTTGTCATAACAACAAGAAAGTTGAAAGCAATAGACTGAATGTAAATAATTTCATATCCCAGAAATTCAAACAGATGTGATAGATAGAAGATTTGTTCTTGGTGTAGCAACCTCAGTGTACAATTTTTTTTTTCTCTTTATCAAGAAATGAAGCACTTTACAACTTCTAGCCAAATTGTCAACATTACTGTTGTTATGTTTTTGAAACCATTACTAAGTAAAAACACATAAATCTTTTATTACTAGGGTCAATTGAAGATAAGGAAAAAGCATGGATGGGGTAGGGAGACCAATGGATTAATATAATAGGAAATAGAGGAATGACTAAATGATGTACTTAAAAAAGTGGGGGTGGGAGAAAGGAGAATGAAAGAGAGAAAATAAAAAAAAGAGAGAGAAAATAAAAAAAAGAGAGAAAATGAAAACAATGCACTGAAAACAATGCACTGAAAAAAAAAAAAAAAAAAGGAACAAAAGATTTTAAAAAGATGGCAAACAAATAAATAAGGTGATTTTTGTTTATGCTTAAAAGCACAAGGAACAAATAATGTGCCAATTAACAAAAAATAAAGAGAGAGATGAAGAGAGATAAATAAATTAGTCTTAAAAAAAGAACAAATAACATTGTTAAAAAATACAGCATTACCAAATAAATAATCTGAACAGTGAACAGAAAAGAAAACAAAAGAAACAAATAGAAATTATTATTTGTCCACTTTTAAATGCAAAAATAAAAAAATATGAGATTGGGTAACAAACGATCCTCCCTAATTTTCATTTTTAATTACATACTCACAAGGTTAGTGAAATAGTAGCCAGCTTCTCCACTCATTAATCGGCTGGGGTTAGCAAAGCGTGTGATATACTGAATATTGGACTGCAAGAGGGGTGGGTTAGCCTTGAGCACTATGTAAATGAGGGCAGGAAGAAATTCATCTGCACTTGCAGGAATGTCCTTTGATGCCCGTAACACTTCAAATATATGCTTGCTGCAACGGACCAGACAAGCTAATTTGTCCTGTGGGGCTCGCTTTGCATCCATCTCTATAATATCTGAAATGAGAAAAGGTAGATAAAAATGAGGCCCATTTGGAAATGACATATGGCACAAGAAAAGACTATTTAAAGTTATAAATTACAATAAAACATTCCCACACGAATCATTTTTTTTTACATAAAGCCACTCACATTTTTTAAAATCAAGTTATCTCCCATGGATTAATTTCTGATATTGCTTCTACACACTTTTAAAATGATTTGCCATGGTTAGCAGCTAGTCAACAAAACCATTTCTTCTGTAGCAAGTTTAATCCTCACCAGGTGTCTGGTTAGAGTCTATATTTAGTTAATATCACCAAGTTAACTGCTCTAGTGTGATACACTGCAAGTTTGTCTTACAAATAAAATTGCTGTATAACAAGTTTATACTTCAAAAGGCACCTCAACAATTACAAAGTTATAAACAGAATAAGCCAAGCTTATTAAATAACTATATACATTAAAACTTATTACTCATTAAATTATGTTACTTAGTGTCCACCATAATTTACCTAGACTTTTCAGTAATCTTAATGTATATTTAAGAGTGTTCTGGAATTTAAAAATTTTGAAAAACTACTAACATTTTTATTTTTGTTTATACATTCTTGTTGCAAAAAGGAAATCCTTACATTTCCTTAAAGTCCATCAGAGGACAGAATGCACCATCTAAGTTTTCTTTTTGTCTTTAATTATGTGTGTGTGTGTGTGTGTGCATGCACAAATACACAGTAGTTGTGCTAAAAGTTCTCAGCCAAATCCACTTTAAAAAAAAGTCTTACTTAACATCAGATTTTTTTGTTTTTTAATTTTTTTTTTGTTGGGTAGAAATCTTTAAAGCATCTCCTACTATATATATATATATATATATATTTATTAAAGACATTTTTTTATGTTTAACGTTGTTATTTAAAAAAAAAAAATGTCTTTAATAAATAAATTGTCGGACCTTGTCCATTTCTTAACATATATATATATATATATATATATATATATATAGGAAGTGGTTATAATAGTTCCAACAAGAGAAAAGTGTGTATATTAAAAAGGAGAGAGAAACCGCAAATGTCTTTGGTTGTAATGTGGATTTTTTGGTTAAATAATTTAGTCATATTATGTCTATTTTAGTTTTAATCCTTTCAAGTCCAAGAAAATTTCCAAAATTATCTTTCAATTAATTTTATTTTTCCTTAGGTTTAAAATGAATTTTTAAAAATGAAAGATTTTTCTTGAAGGTTTTATTTTAATTTAAAGTTAATAGATTAAATTTAATATTTCCAGTAAGTAAAATACTTAGCTGCATTTCAAAAACTAATTTAAATTGACTGGAAATAATTTTTTTGTCTTTTTTTGCTAAAATGGCTGATTAGGCCCTCTTTTTTTAGTCATCTTTCATTACAATGTAATTCTCTTAACAAATCTTCCAAAAATGAAATATACTTTTCTGAAATTTTATTTGTGGATTATTAGCTGATTTAAAGCATAATTAATCTTATTTGAAACAAATTATTTACTTTAAGTTTAAAATATCAGAAAAATGCATTTTTTAACCAGACACTTGTTTCTTTAAGGTGTTTACAGGTTTGACCGCTTGATATTTATCTAATGTTATTCTATGGGTACTTCAGGCATTAAAAAAGTAATTGAATGAATGTGAGCAACTTTTATTTTATATATAATTTTTGAGTACTCAGAGTAATCTTAAAAAGTTAAGAAAATATTCTCTGTAATCTATTATTTTATTGAATTTTAAATATTTTTGGCTGTATATTTACTAGTTATCACACTTACTTTTTAATAATGTGATGTATAGTCAATTGCATAATTAAAAATCAGCACATTTTCGACATAAAAAAAAATTCAAAATTCTTTTTAAAATATTGGATTGAAATGATTTGTACTAAACTTTTCAATTTAGGATTAGTAAATATAGTTTTTTTTATTTAATAATATCATGTGACCCATAAAAATTAATACTGGAATTTATAAGATTTAAAACTTTATAAATTATTCTAATTAAAATTTTTAATAGAAAACAATTCTTGTAAAAATTCATTATTGACTGAAAAAATTTAATACTGTCTATAATATATCTTAATCATAAAAAATTAAAAGCTTTTTTTAATTAAATAATGTCTTAATACAATAGCATTTTTTTATTTTACAATCCAGAGCATATTTTTGATAAATGAGTTACTGCTTAAAAAAAAAAAAAAAAAAAGAGAAATATTGGTGATTACTATTCTCCAAGGAGCACTGCTTTTAACTAATATAATATGAAGCAGGACACAATTTCTGGAAATTTCATTAATTAAGGTGGAGGTAACAAACATAAAAAAAAAAATTTATAGCAAGATTTTCTAAAAAATAAAAATTTCTAAAATAATTTCATTCATTTGTGTATAAGTCCTGAAAGTTTCATTAAAATCTAAAAATTACTTGATTTTTGCAAGAATTTCCAAATCAATGTGTTTGTTACCAGAAAAAAAGGCAATAAATTTCCTAATACTAATCTTTGCTGCCCCTATGCATGAAAAACAAGATTTTTAACCAAAATTTCAAACATGTTAGAAAGGGTTAAAAAATTTAATAAAGTAATCAAAAAATACTTTGGTCTTTCCTTTTGACAATAAAATTTTGATTTTATTAAGTTTGGGGCCTTTTTTCATCATGGTATACTCTTTTCCTTCAGTAAATTATTGGGAGATACCTAATGTACATTATCTTTTATTATACCTTGACAGTCATGTAGAAATCTTACCTGTGATAGCCTGGTCAATCAACTGCCTGACCCCCATTTCATGTTCAGCAATGGACATGTCAAGCATCTGTGAAGAGACCCAATGCAGAGATCGGATGCGTGTCTGTATGGCCAAATCTTTCTCTTCGTCATCTGTGTGGGGAGAGCAGAAAACGGAGCGGTACAGGGTAGTCATGATGAATTTCTCCATATAGTCCATGAGGCTCTCAATTGTTTCAGGGCTGCAGCCTGCAAACATGTCAGAATTTGTTTGGAGTTTAGGAACCATAGGTTGTAGATATTTTTTTATAAATAATATGTAATTTGTTTAAGTCATGTTTAACCGCTTGCATTTACTATGGGTGAGAGAGAGAGAGGGCAAAAAATTGGGAGAGCAAAAAAAAAAAAAAAAAGAGAAGGGGGAGGGCAAAAATAAAAAAAAGAAGGAGAGAAAACTTATTTTTTTGTGTAACACTCAGACCATACACACAAACACTAAGAAATCATTTCATGAGTCATTATTAGTGATTAAGTCATTATTATTTTTTTATACTGTGTGTGTGACTAGGCTTTGGCTAACAAATATTTTAAACAGACAAAGTTTCTAAGTGTGGTTGACTTTCAACCTATTAAAGGCATGAAGTGGAAAGATGCTTTAAATATACGCTCTTTTAGCGCTAGAGGGCGTCGTCAGTGATGTTCTTGAGATGGATCATCGGCCAGTTTCGGGTCTTTCAAACATCATACTGACCTCACCAAATCAACCCCCTCAGAGCTGATCAGACTCTGGAATGCCCTCTAAAAAATGCTTGTAGACACTAACTTCTATAAATATACCCCGTTATCACACATTTGATTGGAGATTGACCAACATCCAATCGCAACGGTGCGAAATCTATTTAAACCGTTTACGGGTGATTTTTTTCAATTTTTCAGTGGACACCCCTTCATCGGATACTTAGAAGGTAATTATGTTTTCCATTTTTACCCACTTCCTATGAAGTTTCATTTCACCAGCTAATAATTACTATTTACAGAGATAAAAAAAATCAATATTGAATCAATTGCTAGGTAAGTTAGTTCACTGTATTGTGTTAGACAATTTTTCTCTCCAGGATTTATCTTATATATCTATAAGTCTACCATTCATCCATGCAATGAATATTGCTAACACATCTGGTTTGGTGTTCTTGCTATATATTTAGAGATTCTTGATAAAAGCCAAAGAAAGATCTGTAATGTTATTGATCCTGACCTGGCATCTCAGCTTCAGTAACTTTCCCACTGCCATAATGTAGCTTCCCTGTGTCTTTTCGATAAATACTTTTATAGGAGAGTGTTCAAATTCTAGTTGAATCCATTAGCAGTGAATAATTTGTAGAGCAGATTTTCTCCAATGCATGATAAACGGTGAGGCTACCAATTTTTTCTGCATTTATTTGACCACGAGGCACGAGATCTGAAGATCTATGGGTAAATTTCTGAAACTCTACTCATTTCTGTGCCTGTGTACTGCATTGACATTGGAAATAGACATGATTAATTAGATTCGCAAACAAAGAACCTTCTATTATATAACCCAGATAGCCGTACTGTGTAGGGCTTTTCAATTTTGCTCTGAAATTTTAAGTTTACAAAATTTACATTGAAATCCATGCAAATTTATCAGATTTGAAAACTTACAAAAAAATTCTGAATACTTTTGGTAAACTCAATGGTCATGTCATGATACTGATCAGAGATATCAGTTAGTATTAAACTCTTCCAAGACCTTCCTTATAAATATTTTATGGCTTTAAATTAATATTTTTAAACTGGACTTCTTTCCATCAGAATCCAATCTGATTCAAGACTCTCCCATATTTTTCTCTTAATGTTCAAATTCCAGTTGAATCCATTACATTCACTTACGTGCAAATATTCTTGGCCACCAATTTCACAAACTGCCGCTTTAATCCACTAGGCTATTGTCCCATAGGACAATTCTCTGGAGAAATTGGAGCCTTAATGTTAACCTGCTGCTGTTTGTCATGGTTGACTGCACCAACTGAAGCTTTTCTCTTTTCTTACAGCTGCTCCAGTTGAAGACTTGCTGTCATTTGTCTTTCTTTAACAACTCCCATATTCTATTTATTTCTATGCTAGGCCTACTAAGGAGGTCCTCATAGCCTAGCATATGTGCTCATTCTTTCAGATAGCTAACTCTTCCTTGTTCAATATTTTCAATTCATTCCACAGAGGATAATGATTACCATTTTCCCTCCATACATAATCAGCCATGTTTGATTTCATTGTCTCACCACTCACTATGGCTTTTCAATGTTCTCCAGCCTTATTTTTAGCGGGTGGTTTGTTTCACCTTTATATTCTTTACCACAACTTCAAGGAATAAAATCCACACAGTTTTTGGTGATGTTCTCTCCCTTATCAGTTAGTATTAAACTCTTCTGAGACTCTCCTTATAAATATTTTATGGCTTTAAATTAATATTTTTAAACTGGACTTCTTTCCATCAGACTCCAATTCAAATAACCACTCTCCTATATTTTTCTCTTCCTTCACTCAGAATTATCAAGTCTCTCAATATCTCAAGTCACTAACTTCTTCCCACAACCCAGTAGGATTCAATCAGGGTCATTGCCCTGTTATACATATAAAAGATTTTCATTTGGATTAAATTGAAATTGAATCAGGAAGCACATACAATTTTTGTACAAATGATATTGAAATTAGTTCAAACAAGGAAACTCATGTGCCAACTTAAGTATGTCTGTCTGAAATGTATGCAGTCATTTTGAACATTATAAAAACCAGTTGTGCAGCCTTGATGCAACTAATCAAAGGAAACCTTACTGCATGTATGAAAACTCTCTCATATGGTTACTCAATCGGTACTGAGATGCTATTAGGTGAGATTATGTAGAGTGTGTAGCATGTGATTCATGTCAGAAAATACAAGAAAGCTGAAGTGAATTTAATGTTCATCAGGAACCTTAACCCAAGAAGAGTTGACCTGTGGTGACCCCAATTGGGTTCACTATTTTTCTTTTTTAATCATTTCACTCCAAGCAAGGAAATAAAACCACTAGGACACAAGTGTTAGAGAATATAAGAAATATATACCATCAAGGAGAGGAGATTAAAAGAAGAAAAATTTAGATAGAATATAACGATTGACATTGCATTTAAATTTTTGAAGATCAAAGTTGACTGAGAAGCAAGAAGCTGGAAGAGAGTTCCACAAGCAAGAAGTGTGACAGAAGAAACTTAACATATTTACATCTAGCCATTTCAAATGTAAAATGAAACCTAGCTGCCAAATCTAGATATTCATTAAGTCCAGGTAACATAGCAGAAAGTTCAGAAAAATTACTATTAACATATTTATAGAAGAGGCACAAGAAAGCTACATTATGGTAGTGAGAAAGGGACTGAAGTTGAGATTCTGAAAGGTACTGAAGTCGAAACTCCAATAATATTGAAGATTCTTCTTTGGATTTTATCAAGAATCTCTTAATGGAAAATTTAGGCTTCTTATTCTAAAATTTAGTATTCTTATCAGATGTTAAGAAGATTAAGTGTGAGCATTATATTCACTATTACCAAGCAAATAGAGTCTTTATGCAGGGTTTTTGACAAAACATCACCTATTGTTCAGATGTGAGTACCTGTGACTTCTGAGCCCCCTGCTCTCAAGATAAAATTGCTGTTGCAACATCACGAATGAAATTAAGAACATAAGGCAGATGATAACCTTGAAAGTAGAATTTGTAGACCATTTGGAAAAGTGAAAGGGATGTCAAGATAAGTTTTTGAAATCCCTGGGGGTGTACTCTGATGTGAACTAAGGCTCTACTATCCTAGGAAGGAAATTTTTTTTTTTTATTAATATTAAATAGCTGGATACTTTGCATGGTTCCTTAAAAGGTTGCTTTTTGATGCTGGTAAGAACTGGGTTATAGTAACAATAAAAGGGTTAATTTTATATCTAGTAAACAGCTAGCAATAATGGCATTTTACCTTCTGAAAACTTGTGGTATTTTTAATGTCTTTTACAAAACTGAAAACTAGACATTGCCTGTATTCTGACCCTTGACTTCACAAAAAAAAAAAAAAAAAGGGTGGGAGTCACTCTGATCTTAAATATTTATAATTAAAAAGACCAAGAAACATTTTTACTCAGTGGTTAAAATATAATTAACACTATACAATACTGAATTTCATTCTTCAATATATTTCACTTTGTTCATAAAAATTCTTCTGGGATGGGATTGAAACAGCAGTATTAGGGATTCCTTACTGGAAGTTAAATTCTTGATTTTTTTTTTTTTCATACTTTTGAGACAAAATCGAATTAACCAAAGATTTTTTATGAAATTTTCACTTAGGAAACACCAGATAACCTTCCTGGTATGCTATACTTACTGCTGTAAAGTGGATTCGAGTGAAAGCGGTCAGACATGCTCTGGTAAAAGTCCTGGACCATTTCAGAGAGTTCTTCAATTGAATATTCTGTAAGAGTCTGGACCCTCTCATTGAAGCTGCGGACCTTCTTGGAAACATCCAGGGCTACAGGCTTCTTTATTGTCTTGAGGAATTCAGTAAATTCCCCGCCAACCTGCTGACTCTCAAGACTGGCACGTCTGGCCTCTTTCTTTGGAGCAGTAAGCTGGTCTTGTGAAGATTCTGAGTAAAACATGATTTACATGATTTTTAAAATGTATGAATTTCATTCAAATACCAAGTTGGTAAGAAAGAAAAAAAATGACAAAAAAAAGAAAAAAAAGAAAAAGAAAGGTAGTTAGATAAGAAAAAGAATAAGAACAGAAAGAGCAAATACATGAGAAATGGACAAAACATGTAAAGGAAAAAAAAAAAGGAGAAAAAAAAAAAAAGGAGAAAAGAAAAAAAAAGGAGAAAAGAAAAAAAAAGAGAAAAAAGAGAAAAAAAAAAAAAGAGAAAAAAGAAAAGAAAAAAAAGAAAGAAAAAAAAAAAAAAAGAAAAAAAAAAAGGAGAAAAAAAAAAAAGGGAAAAAGGAGAAAAAAAAAAGGAAAAAAAAAGGAGAAAAAAGGAGAGGGGGGGAAAAAAGGAGAAAAAAAGAAAAAAAAGGAGAAAGGAAAAAAAAGGAGAAAAAAAAGGAGAAAGGGAAAAAAAGGAGAAAAAAAGGAGAAAGGGGAAAAAAAGGAGAAAAAAAGGAGAAAGGGGAAAAAAAGGAGAAAAAAAGGAGAAAGGGGAAAAAAAGGAGAAAAAAAGGAGAAAGGGGAAAAAAAGGAGAAAAAAAGGAGAAAGGGGAAAAAAGGAAAAAAAAGGGAAAGGGGAAAAAAGGAGAAAAAAGGAGAAAGGAAAAAAAAAGGAAAAAAGGAGAAAGGGGGAAAAAAGGAGAAAAAAGGAGAAAGGGGAAAAAAGGAAAAAAGGAGAAAGGGGAAAAAAGGAGAAAAAAAGGAGAGGGGAAAAAAGGAGAAAAAGGAGAAAGGGGAAAAAGGAGAAAAAAAGGAGAAAGGGGAAAAAGGAAAAAAAAAGGAAAAAAAAAAGGAAAAAAAGGAAAAAAAAAAAAAAAAGAAAGGGAAAAAAGAAAAAAAGGAAAAAAAGAAAAAATATGAAAAAAAGAAAAAAGGGGAAAATAAGAAAAAAGGAGAAAGGGGAAAAAAGAAAGGAAAAAAAGAAAAAGGAAAAAAAGAAAAAAAAAAAAATATAAATATAAAAAATAAAAATAAGAAAAATATGAAAATAAGAAAAATATGAAAATAAGAAAAATATGAAAATAAGAAAAATATGAAAAAATAAAAAAAATATTATTCCCACCTTTCTGTGATGGTCGCTTGAAGATCGACTTTACAGTGTGACTTCGTTTGTTCGTTTGTTGTGTCTTTTTCTCTTCAAATTTAGAGAAAGAAGGTGGGGAATCTCCAAGTACTCCAGCCAATCTGAAATGATTGAAAAAGTTGGGCATGTAAGAATAAGGTGAATGCTCCAACATTCAATGACAATAATTTTGTCTTTGTAAAATATAGTCTACAACTTCTTGCAAATATTATCGAATCAGTACAACAATGCTCACTCAGCATATTTTTACTTTGCAGTAAGTAAACAAATCACATATGATACCAAACAATGTTTCTGTCTATATTTCTGACATGAGGTATTGTGATTAGTTACATTATTCAGACTGTTGTCCTCATCTTTGTCGCCATATTTATAAACTGAGATAGAAGGTTACAAGTGGATAAAAACACTCAGAAAATAGCCTTGATCTGCCTACGTGAAGGGATATCAGAAAAACTACAAAGATCTGTGGTCCATATAACATCAGGACGATCTTCAAAAATTTTAATATTTTATTAATGAGTTAAGCTCAAATATTTAACAATGCAAATGGAGAATTTCTACGAGTATTTCAAAGTTGTGGAACTTCAAAGAGCTTATTCAATCATTAGCTGAAGAATTAAGATTCATCAGAAAATTAAAATTAGAAAATGGGGAACTTTCATGCCTATTGCTAGTTGCAGTTACTTTATTTCTTTAGGTATTTGTGCCAGTGGTTATTACTGGGGATCAGTTGATAGAATATCTCCAAAAACTATTCTTGTTAACTCAAACACTTTAATAGTCAATAGAGTTTTAATTCTCCCTCAATACTGTTTTAGTAACTTTTCTGTGTCTTTTCTATAGATACTTTCATGACAGTTGTTCTTACCTGCAGAAAAAGGATTTACCCCACTCCCAAGGACATTCATAGTTACCATATGAGGGGATGACAAGCCAGCTTTATCAACAGTGCAAAAGTGGGCAGCTGAATTTAGAAGGGAGATTCTTGAAGACAATCAAGCTGCCACCACCGAGCAAAACATTGATCATGTTCACTACATGTTGATGGATGACAGGTGATTGACTATAAATCAAATACCCAATGCTATTACCATATCCAATGAGAGTTGAGAATATTTTGAATAATGAACTTGGCATGACAAAGGTTTCCATATCTTCTAAGACCTGGTCAAAAGCATACAAGATTGTTTGAAGCAGACATGATTTCCTAATCCAAGATGAGTGCTGGGTTCATCACTTTGAGCCATGAACAAAGAGATAATCTATGCAATGGAAACACCCCTCATCAGCCACAGATGTTTAATGTGCAGTGGAAAGTGATGGTTTCAGTCAATGAACACAATGCCTTTTGCATCCCAAAAAAATATATTCAAAAGGTCACACCATCAATGAAGAGTACTATGCCAATTTGCTCAAGCACTTATGAAATGCTATCAAGACCAAATGTGCAGGAAAACTGACAAAAAGACTTGTTTCATCGGGTCAATGTTCCAGCACACAAATCCTTGGTTTCAATGGTTGCTATGCATGACTGTGGCTTTGAACTGGTTGATCACCATCCCTATTCTCTGAATTTGGTGACATGTGACTAGCATTTGTTCCCCAACATAAAAAAAAAAAACTTGACTGGAAAACAATATTGCAGTGAAGATGTCATATCTGCTGTTGATGACCTTTTTTGACCAACAGGTTGAAAGCTTCTTCATCAATGGGATCCAAGCACTGCAACACCAATTAAAGAAATGTGCAGACCACATATTGAAAAATAAACCTCATTTGGTCACATTCCATGCTTGTATCTTGGTCAGCCTATGAACTTTTCAGCTGACCCTCACATAGAGAGACACACACACATCTCTATCTTTCACATATATTGGATACATGGGCTGTCTAAGGAATTTAAAACCCAGCCACCTCTAAATTAAAATAGATTTTCCTCAACATTAACAACTCATAATATCAATATTGTCTGTGCTTATAAATTAAGTAAATTTCTTTGAAAGTTTCTTCCTATCATTGCTTGACAATGGAATGAAATGATGGATTTTAAGTTTAATTTTTATAATTAAATTTATAATTTTACTTTCAGTTTTGAAACATGGAAATTCTGTGTTGCGATGGAATCATATTTTTGAAAAGAAAATAATTATATTTTGCTCTACTCTTTGTATTGAGCACTGTTTTTTTTTTTAAATAAAAATAACTGTTAAAAACACCAGATTATATATATATATATATATATATATATATATATATATGTCTGACTGATTAGATTACAAACATTATGTGTCTGCTTATTTTTATCATAATCCTTTCATATTCACAAATATTTTTCTGTATATTACAACTAAATAAGGCAAAGAAATGTACTGGAACTGCTACAGTGCATTTCTTGTTTTATTCAATTGTAATACACAGAAAATTATTTGTGAATATCAAAAGATTATGATAAAAATAAGCAGACATAATGTTTGTAATTTATTCAATCAGACATACCTAAAAGAGAATTTGCTGGCTAAATACTCAATTTACATATACATATATATATATATATATATATATATATATATATATATATATATATATATCCACTATCAAGGATATTTTTTTCTTTTTTTAACTGAATGTGTACATTTTTATATGTTTTTTATTTTACAAACATGGTCAATATATTGTGACCATGTTCATAGCTGATGTTATTGAATAATGGCTTTTTCCTTTTTATTATTAGTGCTTCCATTATGCTTAGTCTCTTTTTTTTTTTTTTTTTTTTTTTTTTACATTTACCAGCTATCAAAATTCCTCAACAACATTATGACCCCATATCTACCCATCAATTATCTATTACAACACGAGTAAGACAGAATATATAACTACCCCTGAACCATCTAAGTTGAACTCACTCAATAATACATCCATCAAAAGAGTTGGAGACTTCAAATATCTTGGATCTCACATAATAGATTCTCAAAAAGACTTCAACATCTGCAGAGCTCTTGCATGAGTGGCATGTAACAAATTTCACAAGATTTGGCGCTCAAACCTTCCATCCTCCTTAAAAGTCCAAACTTTTCGAATATTGATTGAACCAATCCTGAAACACCACTGCCACCAAAGCGCCAGACCCCGAAAACGCGATGACCGGACATGAGCTCCATATCTGCTTTGACCGTTGTGAGCCACGTCTTAAGTTGACCACCTCGGCACTTCCTCCAACCAGTGGGTGCATTTGGCGCCACCAGTTTACAGATGAACTCATTACCAGGCTGCAGATTTGGTGTGTTCATTGGAGTTTCATGGGAATTTGGAATTCTATGGTATACCCCCCCGAATTGTTGAGTCAATTAGAGCTTTGTAGAGAAACACCACTGCCACCATTGTATTGCCTGATGCCAATACTGATTCCTTTGAAGTTAAAGCAGGAGTTCTACAAGGTGACACACTTGCTCCTTTTCTGTTTATAGTTGTTCTGGACTATGTTCTGCACATTTCCCTTGACAACATGAAGGAAAAGGGCTCCTTTTGAAACTTTGCAGAGTAGTCAGTACCCTCCACAATACCTGACTGACCTTGATTTTGCTGATGATCTTGTATTAATTTCTCAATGTATCAAGGATGCAGAATCCTTGCAGCAATCACTCGAAGAAGCAGCAAACCAGGTAGGGTCTCTATTACAACAAGAGTAAGACAGAATATACCACAATCTCACCTAAACAATCCGAGTTGAAGTCACTCAATAATACATCCATCAAAAGAGTTGAAGACTTCAAATATCTTGGATCTCACATAATAGATTCTTAAAAAAGACTTCAACATCTGCAAAGCTCTTGCATGAGTGGCATGTAACAAATTTCACAAGATTTGGCGCTCAAACCTTCCATCCTCCTTAAAAGTCCAAACCTTTTTTTGAATATTGATTGAACCAATCCTACTGTATGGAACATATACAATTCTTAGACAAATTCAGAACATCAGTTGGAGATCCCAAGCAATGCTTAACACAATTTACAGAGAACTGAAACCAATCTCTAATCTCAAACAAAAATGATTACAGTTTGCTGGCCACTGCCACTGAGTGGACAGGGAAATCATCTCATCCTTACTTCTATGGCATCTTTATGAGTGCCTTCTCCCAAAAATTGACTTTCCTTATACATCATAGCTCAGGACTCAGGGTTGGACATTGGGGATCTAGGAATAACAATGCAGGACCGAACAGTGTGGAAAGGGATTGTCAATGGAGTTCCAACCAACCATAGGGAGGTTGAAGGATGATGATTATAGCATCACATCCACTCCTGAATTTCTCCAAATCCTTAAAACCACACAACCAAACCAAGGCATTTTAGCATCACTTAATGTAAAACTTATTTACAAATATCTCTGTCAATGAAACCATCAATATAATCTGCAATTCTGTGTATAAACCTAACTCAATTCCACCACTATCCATCAGATCTAATATTCTCAGAAAATTACTACATGCATGCACAACTAAAGTCCCCTTCTATGGCCATAATGGCAACATCTTCAAACTAATGGCATTAGTATGGAAATTTGCTCAGACCTTGCTTCTCTAACTGCTACATGTCTCATATAAAAAATAAGGTATTTAAAAATGTTAACTTATGTGCCATACATGATACACACTTAGGCGGTCATGTATATTTTGATACATGACTGACGAGGCAGATTTTTTTCCCCCACAGTAGGTTGACATTTCTTTCTACGAGACCAGTTGCCATCCAAGGATTTAGAACCCAATCGGTCCTGCTATTTACCCACAGCTGGGGAGAGAAGAAGAGGATTCATACCTTTCCCAAGAGTATTAGCATGTAAGTAAATGAAATGGATTTAACTGGAATTCGAACACAGCTCTCCGATTCCTCAATCGAAGCTGCTAACCATTACTCCATCATGCTTCAATTTAAAAATCTTACTAAACCTAAAATATATGTAGATATTTTTATTTTAGCTGAAGATAAAAAAGAAATTGAAAATCTCAAGACAACATTTGAAGAAAACCCTGTCAAGTTTTACCTATTAAGTTTTTACCATTCTTAGATATTCTTGAAGAATCTAGTAATAACATATTCAC